TCCATACTGTGTAGAAACTACCAACTGCACTCTTATTTGCATTATAAAACAAACAGAACTGGAAAAAAAATCACTATTTACCTAAACCGAGGTATAGTGGTTAACCGATACAATCAAATAAATTCAACTATAAATTTGCTAATAACTTTCCTAAAAATTGGTATTTTTCGTTCAAATCTTCTTTAAATTGTGTAGTTAATTGCTCCCCATATTTCATTATAGTTTTCTTAGTAAATTCTTAACGTTATATATTTAATTTTCATATTTTCAGTCTATTATTTACTTAAATTCAACAATAAAAACACGTATTCATCCATAGCTCGGCTGAAAATTGGCCTTTTCCTCTTAAATTTTCTATTTAAATAGTGTAACTAACTGCCCCCCGTATTCCTATATAATTTTCTTTGGTAAATTCCTAACGTTATATATATAATTTTCATATTTTCCGTCTCTTAATTACGTAAATTCATTAATAAAAACACGTATTCATCCATAACTCGGCTGAAAAGTGGCTTTTTCCGTTTAAATTTTCTTTTTAAATAGTGTATTTAACCGCCCCCCGTATTTATCTATAGTTTTTATAGTAAATTTCTGTCGCTAAAATATTGATTTCCACAAAATTCGTTTTCCTATACTCGTAATTTCCTAAAATTTTTAAAATTTTTTAAATCCTCATTTTTCTTTCGCTCTTTTTGCTTTTATTAGGTCCATACTGTGTAGAAACTACCAACTGCACTCTTATTTGCATTATAAAACAAACAGAACGGGAAAAAATCACTATTTACCTAAACCGAGGTATAGTGGTTAACCGATACAATCAAATAAATTCAACTATAAATTTGCTAATAACTTTCCTAAAAATTGGTATTTTTCGTTCAAATCTTCTTTAAATTGTGTAGTTAATTGCTCCCCCATATTTCATTATAGTTTTCTTAGTAAATTCTTAACGTTATATATTTAATTTTCATATTTTCAGTCTATTATTTACTTAAATTCAACAATAAAAACACGTATTCATCCATAGCTCGGCTGAAAATTGGCCTTTTCCTCTTAAATTTTCTATTTAAATAGTGTAACTAACTGCCCCCCGTATTCCTATATAATTTTCTTGGTAAATTCCTAACGTTATATATATAATTTTCATATTTTCCTTCTCTTAATTACGTAAATTCATTAATAAAAACACGTATTCATCCATAACTCGGCTGAAAAGTGGCTTTTTCCGTTTAAATTTTCTTTTTAAATAGTGTTTTTAACCGCCCCCCCCGTATTTATCTATAGTTTTTATAGTAAATTTCTGTCGCTAAAATATTGATTTCCACAAAATTCGTTTTCCTATACTCGTAATTTCCTAAAATTTTTAAAGTTTTTTAAATCCTCATTTCTTTCGCTCTTTTTGCTTTTATTAGGTCCATACTGTGTAGAAACTACCAACTGCACTCTTATTTGCATTATAAAACAAACAGAACTGGAAAAAAATCACTATTTACCTAAACCGAGGTATAGTGGTTAACCGATACAATGAAATAAATTCAACTATAAATTTGCTAATAACTTTCCCAAAAATTGGTATTTTTCGTCCAAATCTTCTTTAAATTGTGTAGTTAATTGCTCCCCATATTTCATTATAGTTTTCTTAGTAAATTCTTAACGTTATATATTTAATTTTCATATTTTCAGTCTATTATTTACTTAAATTCAACAATAAAAACACGTATTCATCCATAGCTCGGCTGAAAATTGGCCTTTTCCTCTTAAATTTTCTATTTAAATAGTGTAACTAACTGCCCCCCCGTATTCCTATATAATTTTCTTGGTAAATTCCTAACGTTATATATATAATTTTCATATTTTCCGTCTCTTAATTACGTAAATTCATTAATAAAAACACGTATTCATCCATAACTCGGCTGAAAAGTGGCTTTTTCCGTTTAAATTTTCTTTTTAAATCGTATTTATCTATAGTTTTTATAGTAAATTTCTGTCGCTAAAATATTGATTTCCACAAAATTCGTTTTCCTATACTCGTAATTTCCTAAAATTTTTAAAATTTTTTAAATCCTCATTTCTTTCGCTCTTTTTGCTTTTATTAGGTCCATACTGTGTAGAAACTACCAACTGCACTCTTATTTGCATTATAAAACAAACAGAACGGGAAAAAATCACTATTTACCTAAACCGAGGTATAGTGGTTAACCGATACAATCAAATAAATTCAACTATAAATTTGCTAATAACTTTCCTAAAAATTGGTATTTTTCGTTCAAATCTTCTTTAAATTGTGTAGTTAATTGCTCCCCATATTTCATTATAGTTTTCTTAGTAAATTCTTAACGTTATATATTTAATTTTCATATTTTCAGTCTATTATTTACTTAAATTCAACAATAAAAACACGTATTCATCCATAGCTCGGCTGAAAATTGGCCTTTTCCTCTTAAATTTTCTATTTAAATAGTGTAACTAACTGCCCCCCCGTATTCCTATATAATTTTCTTGGTAAATTCCTAACGTTATATATATAATTTTCATATTTTCCGTCTCTTAATTACGTAAATTCATTAATAAAAACACGTATTCATCCATAACTCGGCTGAAAAGTGGCTTTTTCCGTTTAAATTTTCTTTTTTAAATAGTGTATTTAACCGCCCCCCGTATTTATCTATAGTTTTTATAGTAAATTTCTGTCGCTAAAATATTGATTTCCACAAAATTCGTTTTCCTATACTCGTAATTTCCTAAAATTTTTAAAATTTTTTAAATCCTCATTTCTTTCGCTCTTTTTGCTTTTATTAGGTCCATACTGTGTAGAAACTACCAACTGCACTCTTATTTGGGAAAAAAATCCCACCCTCCCTGTTTTTCCTACTTAAGTAGACTTGTAGGAATCCTATATCGATTTTTATTTATATTGATTTTTTATTTATTTATATCGATTTTTTATTTTTATCGATTTTATTGTTTCTTGAACCTGTGAGTAAAAACAACCAGTTCAGACAAGAATCGATTTTCGAACCACTCAGTTTTCACTACCTAAGTTGTCTTGTATCATACAAATGTCAACTTCGAAAAATATTTGTTCTGAACATAGCCAAGAATCGATCCTTTCGACTACCCGGGTTGAAGATCCCACCAATATCACTGACGACGATTACGAAGTGGCACGATCCGATTCAGGTTCCAATTTTAACGAAGGATACCTTTCAAAAATTATCATCATCATCATCATCACAGCCCTTCACAAGTCCACTGCTGAACATAGGCCTCCCCCAAGTAATGCCACAAAGCACGGTCCTGAGCCACCTGCATCCATCGACTTCCTGCATATCTTACCAGGTCGTCACTCCATCTAGTGGGGGGTCGCCCTACACTACGCCTACCGGTACGAGGCTGCCACTCGAGAACCTTTCTTCCCCATCGGTTATCGGTTCTTCGAGCTATATGGCCGGCCCATTGCCACTTCAGCTTACTAATCCGTCAAAAATTATAGAAAATATAAATTTTATTCAGCAAAATTTAGACGGTAATAGAAGCGTTACGCGCCAGAATAAAGATAACATAAAGAAATCGCTTGATGAAATTAATCGTAGCTCTCAACAGTTGTTCGATCAGGTAAAAACTATTTTACGCCACTCTATCTCATCAGCTGAAAACAAAACCGTTTCCATCATAAGGAACACTATCAAGGAAGAACTCTCTAAATTTACCCAAAAACCTCAACAACACTTCACACAGCCATTGCAACATCCTCTTCGACAAATTCCAGCCACAAAATCTCCGCAATCTTATGCAAACGCTGTAAAATCCATTACGCATTCAAAGCGACCTATTCCTACAACATAACCGGCCATCATTGTTAGTGCAAAGCAGCCAGTTTCCTCCCCACAAGAAACCGTTAGTGCGTGGAGGAAAAGTATCCACTTTAAACATTATACATTTAGCCCTGCTGAGGTCAAACAAGTCTCTAATAACAAACTTCGGGTAGAATTTGACACTCAGGAACAAAGAGACAAAATTATTGAAGCCATAAATTGTCCCGAAAGTTTGGTCAACGCTGACATTGCCAAAAAGTTAAAGCCTATGTTAATATTAAAGGGCATTCATATCGACACACCTGTGACTGAGCTTAAGGACATTATCATCAATCAGAATCCCACCATAAAAAATCTCGTTAAGACACCTGACGATATATCCTACCGTTTTATGCGCAATAATAAAAACAAAAAACTTTATAACACAGTTTTCATGGTCACCCCGCAAATCTGGAGAACGGCGGTAGAACTTCAAAAACTAAATATTGACCATCAAAGAGTACACGTAGAAGACCACCCCGCGTACCTTCAGTGTTACAAGTGCTTACTATTCGGTCACACCAAAAAACACTGCCCAGAAGATAAATTACATTGCTCTCACTGCTCGTCATCCGGCCACTCCTACAAAGACTGTCCGGACAAAAAAGAAGTTTCCAAAATCGATTGTTATAACTGCATAGCACACTATAAAAAATATAATCTGAAACTAAACACTAAGCATAGTGCTACATCTTTGCGTTGTCCTCGTATACAAAAACAAATTGAAAGTTGCAAAAAATAGAACTGACTATGGATGTTAATAATATGGCAACAAAAATGATTACAAACCACCCGCCATTAAAGTGTCTACAAATTAATCTAGACAGAGGCTACATAGCAACACAGGAAGCGCTTAAATACATTAATGACACCCAAATTGATATAGTATTTATTAGCGAACCATACGTTGGAAAAAACGCTTATATGAAACCTTGTCCTAACTATAATATTTACCAATTCCCAACAGATCGTCACGTAAAAGCATGTATGCTCATAAGGCATAACATTGGATGTACACTTGGAATGTCCGAATATTCTACGTCAAACCTTTGTGTAGTAGAAATAAAAATCCGCGGTAAGAAAATATACTTGATTAGTGCGTATGTCGAACCAAGAAACGATGAAATTAATACCCTCAATTCATTAGAAATGTTTTTACAAAAGAATTCACACTGTATCCACATTATTGGTGGAGACTTCAATGGTTGGCATCCTTTGTGGGGTTCACCTCGAGCCAACCGACGAGGAAATAGCATTGTAGATCTTATCACAACTAATAATCTCATTATTTGTAATTCTGGTAGTCATCCAACTTTTGAAACTATAACTCATGGCATACATCGGGAATCGATTATTGATCTCACGCTCACACTCAACTCGCCACCAAATCAAGTACTAAACTGGAAAATTACCAAAGACCCAAGTCCATCATCAAGTCATAATGGTATCATCTTTGATTTACACATAAATAAAAACTCTTTAATTAAAGCAAAGAAACTTTCAACCTACAAATATAACACGAAAAACATAAAATGGGACCAGATAAAAGATGTATTTAAAAAAAGAAATTTGCGAACACTTAAACTTAAATATTAATATTGAACAATTAAATTCTTCAGAGCTCGAAAATTACGTGTCAAAATTAACTTTAGCTATACAAAATGTCTGCAAGAAGTTATTTTCACAAAAATGCAATTTCACACAGAGAGCCCCGTGGTGGAGTGATAAACTAGAGGAGTTAAAACAAAAAGTATTAAAGAATCATCACAAACTACAGAAATTAAAACGCGGCAAAAAATCCCTGACGGAGGCATTAATTGAAAAGGAATCACTAAAAAATGAATATTCACAAGCAATCAGTGCTGCATCTACAGAACACTTCAGAGAATTTTGTAACAAGCAAGGAAAGGAGGACGTTTGGAGTGTTACGAACAGGTTGCTTAAAACAACACCTTTATCACAACCTCCTTCAACCCTCAAAAATAAATCTGGACATTACACCTGTACTACCCAAGAGACCGCTGAAACTTTTCTTAAGGAATATTTCCCTGAAGATGAACCCGACACAGATCCACGGCACATTAAAATAAGAAAACTCTCCGAAAAAATACCAGAAACACCACCAGAGCCCTTATTCACAACAGACGAAGTGCTACATGCACTGGCTTCCATGAACCCTAATAAGGCACCAGGTCTTGACAATCTTACTGCTGATATATGTACATTTTTTACCAAATTATTCCCTTCTATTGTAACCAACCTGATGAATAGATGTCTTCAACTCGCATACATTCCAAAAGCTTGGAAAATAGCCTATATAAAAGTTATACCAAAATCCCACAAAAACGAACTAAGTACATCCTCATACAGACCTATAGGACTCATAAATGTCTTCGGTAAGGCTCTTGAAAAACTGATCGTCAAGCGGCTTAAACATCACTTGTATACTACCGGCGCCATGAGCAACCTGCAATTCGGGTTTAAAGAATAAACGTCAACTGCTAACGCAATACAAAAGGCACTTGATGTAATTCGGGACGCTAAAGCCAAAAAACTACAAGTACTTGCTATATCTCTTGACATACAATCCGCATTTAATAATGCATGGTGGCCAGCAATTTTTCACAGACTTAACACTACACACTGTCCTTCTAATATTTACAAACTATTACAAAACTATGTTCAAGATCGAACGGTCAAGCTTGATTTTGCAGACAGTTCAGCTACTAGACCTATGTACCGGGGTTGCATACAAGGTTCAGTGTGCGGCCCTATGCTGTGGAATCTGATGCTAGATGAGCTACTAATGTCTGAACCACCACAGGGATGCCACCTTCAAGCTTTTGCTGATGACATTCTATTAATTACTCAATCAAAAGACATAAGAACTCTTGAAAAGATTACTGAGGATGCACTCACTAAAATAGTTAATTGGGGAAATAGTATCAAACTTAAATTTGGCCCACAAAAAACACAGATTATATCGTTCACCAATAAAGCCCGCAAGTGTCATATTACGATGAATAATCAACCGCTTCTATTTTCTCGACAAATCAAATATCTAGGGGTCATCATAGATCAAAAACTAAATTTTATTAAACACGCTGAACACACAATAAATAAAGCTTATAACCTCTTTCAAAAGCTTTCTAAATTCATAAAACCTACCTGGGGGATAAATCCCGAGAATGTCCGTATTATCTACAATGCTGTCATAGAGCCAATAATATGTTATGCTGCAAGCATCTGGCGCCCGGCACTAAAATACAAATATGTTCAAAAACGCCTGCTCTCCCTGCAACGAAATTTCGCAATAAAAATTATAAGAGGTTTTCGAACCCTAAGTACTGCCACTGCTATCTCCCTAGCACAACTACCTCTATTAAATATTAAAATAGAAAATTTTGCTGATTTAGAAATAACCAAACACCAACAAACATCTAAATTCCTCCCAAATGATATACAATTAGAAATTCCTGCTGCACCAGCGGAACTCCTGCACCCATCTGAAAGAATAGCAATAAAGTTTCTTGAAGTCACATGCCAGGAAGAAATTGAACAACAGGTTAGAAACACTACAACAAAAATATTTACAGATGGTAGTAAAGGTGAAAACGGAGTTGGGGCGGCCTTTGTAGTCCAGCCAACACAAGGTTCAAATATAACAAAAAAATATAAATTGCACGATACTTGCTCTGTTTTTCAAGCCGAACTGTTTGCCATTCTGCAAGCAACACATTGGATACTTGAAAGCAAAATTATTGACAACGTAATAGTCTCTGATAGCAAATCCGGCCTACTAGAAATTAGCAACCCAGACACTACAAATTCAATAGCTGTTAAAATTCATCAAAATATAATCCGTACCCAAGCCCAAAATCAAATAATTCGATTCATTTGGGCAAAAGCCCACAACAACATCCAAGGGAATGAGCTAGCTGATGCAGCAGCAAAAGCAGCCACAAATTTATGTAAAGCCCCAGACTATGCCAAATTTCCAATAAGTTACATCAAGCAAATACACAAGAAAAATTTAACTTTAGCAACTGAAAACTATTATAATGAACCTTCAAACTGTACCTATCTCAAATCTTGGTGTCCAACATATGAAACACTCCAAAATGTTTTGGAGAAAATCAAACCTTGCTTCTACACTACACAAATATATTCGAATCATGGTTTCCATAAATGTTATCTACACAGGTTCAAAATAAGTTCTAACGATCAGTGTCCTTGTGATGGATACACACCACAAACTATAATTCACTTAATAAAACAATGCTCTAAGTTCGCTACAAGTAGACTAGACCATGAAATAACCTGTCAAAATCTAAGAATAAATAATATCTATAATTTAAGAGATATAGTTAAAAAAGAATCTACCACAAATACATTTATGAAACACGTAAAAACAATTATTAAGTCTTTAAAAAAGTTCAATTCAAACTTAACACAATAGCACAAATAATCGAATATGATACAATTACCCTAAACAAATTAAACATCCTAAAGAAAAAAAATAAATCTTTATTATAAATTTAACTGAAAAATATAAACAATCTAAATAACGCATATTGTATACCAGCAGCATAATGCGTTATTTTAGAAAATATCAAATTGCTTTCAATAATACAAAAAAAAAAAAAACCTAACCTAACCTAACCTAACCTAACCTAACCTAACCTAACCTAACCTAACCTAACCTAACCTAACCTAACCTAACCTAACCTAACCTAACCTAACCTAACCTAACCTAACCTAACCTAACCTAACCTAACCTAACCTAACCCGAGTCCGGTGTCAATTGCCGTCCCGAACGCCACGTTTTAAATTCGCTCCGCGCTTAAAAATTCGGAAAAATAGGTTTTTTGCAACAGATTTTCATGTGTGATATATCAAAAGTTGTGTTTTAACTCGCTGCTTAAAATAGTGAAAACCGCAAGAAAATCGGAGATAGTTTCAAAGGAATATAGTGAAAAGAGTGATTTTTAAAAAAATTTAAAACTTCAAAGTGAAACGCTGTGCGATTAGTCGCCTTTACCCCTGTTTTTTAAAGTGCGGCCTTAAGCTAGTCGCGGCCCCAACCTATATGCAAAAATTGAGGTTTCTCGGAGCCACAGTCTTCGAGAAAAACCCAAAAAAAACAAGTACCACGTGGGCACGTGTTTTTTGAAGCAGAGTCGTGCGGCTGTGTTTACAGTCGGATTCCGGTAGTACCTGCGGAGAGGAGCCTGGAGCAAGTTTCGGGACAATTTTAAGTTAAGTGGCTTACGAGATATTGAACTTATAAAATTTGACAAAAATTGACATCTCGATAAATTTAAAAGTAAAGTGGAGACCCCTTATTTTTATTTTAAAATAGTGTTAAGAAGTACGAAAGGATTATATGTACAAATTTTTGGATTTTTCTAGTGAGTGGTTTTATAGTTATAAATTTTTTAATATTTTTAGTTAACATGTGCTACTCTTAAAATAAGTACTAGAAAATTATAAAATACATAATTAATATAAGGGTCTTGATAGTAATACATGCAAATTTTTGTAGAATTTTAAAAACATAATTTAACTTTAAAAATCAAATTTTCTAAAAAATTTATCTTATTTTGTAAAAAATCTAATTAAAGGGGGCTGAAAAAGCCAAAAGATTTATATAGACGTAAGCTCGACACCGAGACCTTTTGAACGAGCCCAAACACGGGTCAAATCCGTTTAAAAACGGCGGAAATAGTAATTTATTGCCTGGACCAGCGGCCATTTTGAAAATTTTAAAAACGTAATAGCTCTGCTTGTGGAGGTAGTAGTGAATTGCGGTTTTGGACTGTGCTACTATTAGATCGATTTCTACCCACCTACAGAAATTTGGGCTTTTTTCAGCTATAGTTTTTCAGGGTCCTGAAATCGATTCCATCAGATAGAATTGAAGAAGTTTAGTAGTATAGTCGAAGCGCGGGTCTTCTACGGTTTCTGGAAGCAGAGTTATTAGCAGTCAAACATCAACATTGACATTTCAGCAGCCATCTTGGAAAATTAAAATAGGTCATAACTCCTGAACTAGGCGTCGTAGGAGGCTGGGATTTTGACTCTAGACGTCGGCAGTTAGTGCTGGAACAGACAATTAACTTTTCAGGAAATTTCAGCGTTCAAAAATTATAATCCTGAAACTACACCATATGATAGCCCTGGTCGAGCCCATCAAAACGAGCCCGGGTGCGGAGCTGTAGGCCCATGCGTTCGGGAGTTACAGCGCATTAACCCTAATTTTGGCGGCCATCTTGTTCGAAAACCATTATTTGAAAGCGCTGTAACTTGGGAACATATTGGGCTAGGTATACCGAGTTGGGGTTCCTTGAATAGGGCTCGAGGAGTGCTGTTAGGTGGTGTTTAGAAATAGACTCTACGTAGAGCCAATAATTTGTTAGCCTGTAAGTCTCTTCATAATGAATATTTTTGGAAATTTTTAAAGTTACTAGGCATATATCTTCTAGAAATTCTTGTTTTATTATATATTTAATTTCTTTGTATATGTTATAGAGTAAACAAATATAGACGTATCTACATAGTAGATATTAACATATTAAAGTATCTTAATCGAAGAGTTAATAATATTAAAATTGGAATTGTGTTTGCAGACTGATTCTAGATAGAGTCATATAGGTACATTTAGACTAAAATATTCTTACTTTAAAAATATTACTGACATATATATGTACATAAATAGATACAATAAAAAAAATTTAAAACTTTTACAAACCTTTAGTTAATTGACATAAATACTTGATTTATAGTTTTATTACTGTTGACTGTTGAAACCTAACGCGTTTCCTTGGCAAAATGTTTGGCTTCCGCACTCCCACAAAACAGACCGAGGATAGTACCAAGGACAAAAGTCCTCAGGATTCACCAAACGGGATAGAGAAGGCAGGGCCTTCTACTAAAAGGGACCAAATAACACAGGCCCCTAGTGTGAGAAAAAGTATCGGTGAGTGGGAAACAGGCAAAATAGACGCGGAAGCTGTAAAACAGCTCTCCCCGAATAGGGCTCCATTGGCCCGACAGAAACAAAAAGTTATTCCATCCCAGGAAACAAGAGGAACATCCCGTAAAATAGTAGCTGAGAGCACAGAGAGCTCACCAAAAATCGAAACAACAAAACATGCGGATCGCCTGACTGAAGCTCGAGCCTGTCTGCAAAAGGCCAAACTACATCTTAACAACTCTAGAAACCTGAGGACTGACATAAAAATGGAAGTCACTCAGGCAATAGAGAGACTTTACCAATTGGTGAAAGAAGCAGAAACAGGTAAGAATATAGACAAAGAGGATAAACCTAAATATCAGGAAAAGGAAGAGGAGAGACTGAATAAAGAATATAAGAAAAGAAAGGAAGAAGAACAAAACCTAATGAAGAAATTGGACGAACATGGGAAACTTATAGAGGAGAGTAGAAGAGAGATGGAAAATTACGCAAAGTCAGTAGCAGAATGTAAAATACACACAATAGCACTTACCGAACACCTTAAACTAACTCCTCAGAACAACAACATGGGACGAACATATGCACAAGCAGCGGCGACATCCAAAGGACCTCAACAGGTGCACTCAGTAGTAGTATCGTCAGGCGAAGTGAAAGATACTAGTGGAGAGGTTATAAATAAAATAAGATCAGCAGTGAACGCAAAAAGTGAGGGCATACAGATAGAAAGGCTTCGTAAAGCTAGAGACCAAAAGGTCATTGTGGGATGCAAATCAAAAGAAGAGCTAGCGAAAGTAACAGAGAAAATTAAGAACTCGGGCGGAGGCCTGCATGTTGAGGAGGTAAAAAATAAGGACCCATTAATTATTCTAAAGGACGTACTAGTGTACAACTCAGATGAGGATATTATAGTAGCTCTAAAAAATCAAAATAATCATTTGATAGGTGACATTAAATCTGAAGAGCAGAGACTTGTCGTAAAATATCGACGAAAGACGAGAAATCCTCATGCAAACCACATCGTTATGCAGGTCTCACCTCAAGTATGGCAGCGATTGACAAGGGCAGAACGAATACATATCGACCTGCAGCGTGTTCGTGTGTCGGACCAGACACCGTTAGTTCAGTGCTCGCGCTGCCTGGGATATGGTCATGGGCGTAAATTCTGCAAAGAAACAGTTGACATCTGCAGCCACTGTGGTGGCCCGCATATGAGAGTGGAATGTGCGGAATGGCTTGCAGGAAACGCGCCATCATGCCGAAATTGCTTCCATGCTAAATTGGAGAAAAATGATCATAACGCTTTCGACTCAGAGTGCCCTATTAGAAAAAGGTGGGATATCCTGGCTAGATCGACGGTGGCGTACTGCTGAAGAGGACATGGACGCAAAAAGCTCTGCAATAAATGCACAGACCCCCCAAAACTATCAAATTTATAAAGTCATACAGGCGAACTTACAAAAGAAGAAGTTGGCAACAACGGAGCTAATAATAGAAGCCACTAAAGAAAAGATTGCCTTTGCTTTAATTCAGGAACCCTATATAGGTGCCCAGGGCGAACTCAAAAGACATGCTGGAATTCGTGTCGTCCAGCGAAATCGGAATAGGACAAAGCCAATAAAGGCAGCCATAGTGGTCTTTGACGACAATGTAGAGATTATCGAAAGCCCTACATTGACTACAGAAAATATAGCTGTAGCTATTTTAAAAACAAATGAGTGGACCCTGGGAGTTATATCAATTTACTTAGAAGACTATTTGCCAATAGAGCCCTATTTGGACATGATAAAATCGATAGTAGAAACAATAGGAACCAATAAAATATTACTGGGAGGGGATGGCAACGCATGGAGTACATGGTGGGGAAGTGTCTCAGAAAACTTTAGAGGAGAAGCATTATCAGGAACCCTAGAGGAACTCGACCTACAAATTCTAAATATTGGCAAAGAACCAACATTCGATACCACCAGAGGAGGGAAACACTTTAAGAGTCATGTTGACATTACAGCATGCTCAACAGAACTTCTCGACGCGGTGAGTGACTGGAGAGTAGACAAAACTATTACTAGTTCGGACCACAATGCAATCGTTTTCAACATTAAGTTTAAAAAACCAACACAAAATAGACACAAGAATACAACGAGAATCTTTAATACGAGAAAGGCAAATTGGCCTGCTTTTAGAGAAGAACTATTAAGACAGCTAAAAGCAAGAAATATAGATAAAAACGAGATAAGTAACATTACAACCAAAGAAACACTAGAACAGACAATATCAAAGTACATAGACAGTATAAGAAAGACATGTGAGAAGACAATACCGCTAATTAAACATAAAATGAAACATAAGATCCCATGGTGGAACGAAGAACTAGAAATACTAAAAAGAGAAATGAACACAAAAAAAGAAGGATACAATGCGCTGCACCCAGTCGTAGAGGATGGGTAGTGAACGAGTTCCTAGAAGCAAAAGCGAAATACGAGGAAGAAGCGATGAAAGCCCAAACAGAAAGTTGGAAGAACTTTTGTACCAAACAAGATCGGGAGAGTATGTGGGACAGTATCTATAGGGTTATAGCTAAAACTGCCAAAAAATATGAAGAACAACCACTTGTGAAGAATGAAATAGCAATGAGCGCGGAACAGTCAGCAAAGTGGCTCGCAGAAACCTTCTTTCCCGAAGATAAGGAAGAAGAAGATAATGCAGATCATCAGCAAACGAGAAGATTGGCAAACAAAGAAGAACTCCCAGAAGCCGACAAGATAGATCCACCATTCACAATAGCGGAGTTAAACTACGTAGTAAATAGCTTAAACCCAAAGAAAGCGCCTGGCCCAGATGGATTTACTGCAGACATCTGTTCAGTGGCAATATCTCAGGACCCTAATATTTTTTTGAATATAGTTAACAAATGCTTCCACCTGTCACACTTCCCCGTACCGTGGAAAGAAGCAAAGGTAATAGTTCTGAGGAAACCAGGAAAAGACGACTATTTGACCCCAAAGTCCTACAGACCAATCGGCCTATTGTCAATATTTGGCAAAGTGCTCGAAAAAATGCTGATAAGGAGAATCAGGTGGCATCTCCTACCTAAAGCTAGCCCCAGACAATACGGTTTCATCCCACAGTGCAGTACAGAAGACTCATTGTATGACTTACTTCAACATATAAAAGACAATTTGAAGAAGAAACTTATAAACGTCGTAGTATCGCTTGATATAGAAGGAGCGTTTGATAACGCCTGGTGGCCGGCAATTCGCTGTCAACTGGCGGAGAAACGCTGTCCGCGAAATCTACGCAATATTATGAAAAGTTATTTAGAAGATAGAAAGGTCTGTGTTGGGTATGCAGGTGCTGAACACACCAAAAGTACGTCGAAAGGATGCGTCCAGGGCTCCATCGGAGGGCCCACTTTTTGGAATTTGTTATTAGATCCCCTGTTGGATGGTCTGGAGAGAAGGCGGATATATTGTCAAGCATTTGCTGACGATATTGTCCTGATATTCTCCGGAGAAACAGCCTCAATTATTCAGGAACAAGCCAATAACACCCTGGCATATGTGCATGAGTGGGGAGTCAGAAACAAACTTCGGTTTGCGCCTCATAAGACAAATGCAATGGTTATAACCAAGAAACTCAAATATAATACCCCACAAATTCATATGGGAGGAACCGATATAAGACTGGTGGAAGACATGAAACTACTCGGACTTACGATCGACAGCAAGCTGACTTTCCACAAGCACGTACTCACAATATGTCGGAAAGCTGCCAATATTTACAAACAACTCTCAAGAGCAGCCAAAATTGAGTGGGGCCTGAACCCGGCGATTATCAGGACAATATACGTGGCTGTAATAGAACCGATAATCCTGTACGCGGCTAGTGTGTGGGCTACAGCAACAGAAAAAATAAGCATCCAGAAGCAATTAAATGTAATCCAGAGAGGATTCGCCCAGAAAATGTGCAAAACCTATCGAACAGTTTCCCTAAACGCAGCACTAATCCTAGCAAGATTGCTTCCTTTAGATCTGCGGGTCCAAGAAGTAGCCTCTCTTTATGAAGCAAAGAGAGGTAAACCTCAGGAAATAATAGGCTGTAGGGAAATTGAAAGTAGGATCTCCTTCCTAAAGGCAGAACACCCGGCAAGGGAAATTGAGATATCATTAGAATACTTGGAAGATACGGAGCCTGAAACTTTAAAGAACCTTGACATCAAAGGTGTGCAAATTTATACAGACGGAAGCAAAATCGACGGTAAGGTCGGAGCAGCATTATCCTGTTGGAATAATGACGTTGAGACTAAAACCAAAAAGTTTAAGTTGGAGCCGTTCTGCACCGTTTTTCAGGCTGAATTATTTGCTATCTACCAGGCGACGAAAATTGCACTACAACAAAATACGATAACAACC